TTTTCTGCGAGAGCATGGCAGCCTCTTAGAGTGTTTCGGAGTTCTTGTTCCGTACGCCATTCTCCCCGTTCTTCTGCCCACAGGTGTTTAACCTGCCACACCCCTTTTTCAACCCACGACAGCCATCTCCGGTCCCTATTTCTTAGTGGCCAGGGGTTGCCTTCGGGGTCTTTGATCCAATCGTTACAAAACAGCGGTTGTCTCAGGGCCTCCTCTTTGATTTCCACTGCGCCATGTTTGCTTGGGATCATCCGTCTCCAGGCCTTCAGAGTCGGGGACCAGTACGGGTTGGGTGTTGGGGCTGCCTGGCTGTCTGAGTTTCTTGTGGTTCTACTACGGGATCTGCCTGATCTTATCGTCCACTCCTTAGCCATAATCCAGAAGTATCCGCCCATATTTGGTGGGGAGCTTATCGGTGCTAGGTTTCTTATGCTGTCTAGAGCCATCTTGGTCCATGGTAGGTCTTGTCTGGTCAAGATCTTGATGACCCATTTCATCTGTAGTGATGTTGACTCCTGCTTGGGGTCAATTAGGCCTAGGCCTCCATCCTGCGGTTTCCTGATGATGTGGCTCCATGGTACCCTGTTGATGCATGAGGTCCGGTTGGGATCGCCTGTCCACAAATAGCATCTTGCTTTGGCCTTTATGGTTTGGAAGTCGGCGTCCGGGGGAGACCAGATGGATGCGATATACCATAGTGTGGAGAAGATGGCTGTGTTGATAATTAATGCCCTCCCGATCAGTGATGCTGTGCGTTCTTGCATGGGGCCAGGCGGTTTATAGTTTTGGCAATTAAACCGTGGCCTATTCCTGGCCACACCCCATCTTTGTTGACCATGATACCTAGGTACCTGAGTGCCTGTTCGCCTGTGGACCATGACATGGGTGTGGCTGAACCCTCGGGTTGGGGAGGCGTCTCGTCTGTTAGCCACCAACCTTCGGTCTTGCTCCAATTAACCTTCGTTTCGGATGCAAGACGGAATGCCTCCATAGCCTTCACGAGGGCTTGGAAGGAACTGTTGCTGGCGCGGATAAGGACTGTGAGGTCGTCTGCGAACATCAAAGCGGTGGGTAGGGCGAAGTCGTGCATTGGGTTGAAGTTTCGTTCGGTGAGCCGATCTATGGACGGATCTTTGCGGAGGAAGGAGGCTATAGCTTCCATAATGAAGAGGAAGATAGGTGGAGCTAGAGGGTCACCTTGTCGTACGGATCTGGAGATRGGGKAGGTATCCGAAAGGATCCTATTGACCTGCACTCTGCCGGTTGCATCCGCGTACARCACTTYAACCCACTTCCTGAAGTTTGGGCCAACCCCCATTTTTTCCATGCACGCGTGAAGGAAATCCCAGTTGACTTGGTCGTAGGCCTTTTCAAAGTCGAAAAATAGGATTGCTGSTTTCATCCTTTTTTCGGTTATCTTTTTGGCTGCCTCGTTTAGGGTCATCACATTGTCGAGTATGTACCGGCCTGGGATGAAGCCTRCTTGGTCGATGTGGAAGCATTTGTCGGTCAGATTTGTGATCCTGTTGGCTAATGCTTTCGCTAGGATCTTGTAGGGGGTTGTGAGAAGCGAGATGGGTCGGTAGTTCTTCAAATCCTCTTTCTCACCTTTATTGTGGAGTAACGATACTACACTTGTACTCAGATTTTGGCCTAGTCCTCCCCGGTCTCTGCTGTCATTGAAGAAATTGAGCAGGTCCTCGCCTGGTGTGGGCCAGAAGTGGACCCAGAATTCCTTCGATAGCCCATCAATACTCGGGGCTTTATCGTTGCCCATCTGAGTCAGGGCTGTGTATAGCTCCCCCGACGAGAGTGGTCTGTCCAGCCCTCGGTCTGTTCTGGCGTGATTGTCTTCTCCAGGTAGGCCATCATTCGTTGTCGTGCTGCTGAGTTGGCTGAGGGGAGGGGGGAAGGTGTTTTGGATTCGTAGAGCTGTGCGTAGAATGATCTGGCTACTTTAACCATTCCCGATCCTGATTGGTCGACCCTGTTCTGATTGTCCGGGTCCTTCAACCCTTCAATGTTGTTGTTCCTGGCGTTAGCTTTAATTTTTGCGAAGAAGTACTTTGTCATGGATTCGTTAAGGGTGAGGTCGGTCATTCTGGCCCTGATCTGCAGGCCTCACAGTTCCCATCTCCTCTACTCGTTGAGTTCTTCTCTTGATGAGTCGAGAAGTTGACTGTAGAAGGTGTTTGAGGGGTCTGCGACAAGGTTGTCCTCCGCGAGAGATATGGCGAATTGAAGCTCTTCTTTTCTGATTTTCCGTTCTCCTGCAATGCTTCTGGATTCCGATGAGACTGTTTGGGTGAGGTCCGTATAGCTGTCTATGAACCATTGATGTCTGTTGTCCAGTCTGGCGCTGTTCWGTCTCAAGAAGAACCAGTTCCATCTGACCGCCTCTGTTAGTCGTACGGTGGCTAAGAGGGAGTTGTTAAATCTGTAGAATCCCCGACCTTTTTCCGTGGGGGAGTCAAAGTTCAGGAGCARTTCTATCGGTTTGTGGTCCAGACCTCGAAAGGYCGCTGATGGGCGGATCTCAGCCTGTTTGATTGTTCCTTGGAGGTGCTTGGAGATTAGGAAGAAGTCGATCCGGGACAGCGATGTCCGGTTGGCCTGGCTCTTTTTGACCARTGAGAATGCCTTTTTGTTCGGGTGCAGCATCCTGAAGGGGTCAATGAGGTCAAACTCTATCATGATATTTCTTATGTGGGTTCCTGCTCTTGTTGGGCCTATCAGTTGAGATCGAGAGATGCGGTCTAGGTTTGGATCCAAGGTCGTGTTCCAGTCGCCTGCGATAATCGTCGGTTGAGGGTTCGGGATGAGGGATTGGATGCTACTCAAGTAGGCTAAGCGATCGTTTTTAGCGTTGGGGGCGTGTAACCATCTTATTTCTGTTTGTATCATAATAACAATGACCATTTATCGTCAATTAGACTGAATTAGTACGATTAGTATTCAATTTCCCAAATCGGGGAATTCGTCAAAATATATGCGGCAGAGGCTCACCAGCACAGATAAGAGGCCATTGTTGCACCATGTTTTGGGAGGCAGCGGTTGTCAGGTGCTGTGCTCCAGTCTGATGGATGAATTACACAAATTAATTTAAGGGATCTGCTCCGGGAGTGGCTATCAACTCAATCACATCAGACAGGGGGTTAGTTACATCAACTTACATGGTGGGTTGTTGGTACACGAAATATTGTTGTCTTCTCATGGAGAAGAAAAACAAAGATAATAATAAATGGCCAGCGACAATGGTAAAGAACGCACATGCAGACAATGATCAGAAGAATGACAGCATGGCAGGTATTAAACAACAGGCAATGCCGAAGGACATGGCCTTCAATTGGACAGGGGCGTGCTTAATGAGGACGTTTCATGATGCACCATGCTTCCAATATTGATAATTTTCCATGACCATCCAGGCATAAAGCAAAGTCACCCAAGAGTCTCTCCAGATGCAAGACCACTTACTGGACTCGGTGGAAGATCATCTGCTTCAGAAGGTGAGCCCTGCTTTGTTCAAAAGATGGAAAAGAGAAATGAAACAAGTCGAAGTACATTGAAATTGAGAGCACAAACAACAGTACCCCTGTGTCAATGCCCATTGCACTTTTTGGCTAGGAAGATTCTCACGCCCGGCCGTGCACCCAGGCGTGACGCCCGGGGTACCCGGGCGTGAAAAAAAAAATGAAAAAAAAAGTTTTTTTTTTTTTTTTTTTTTTCCCTTTGGGGGGGGGGGGGGGGGGGGGGGGGGGGGGGTTCTGCGCTGTCCCAGAAGACCGCAAATCTGGGATCATTTCGTTTTTTGCAAGTTGGCTGTCAAGGGGGGAGGAGGGGGGTATAAATTGGTTTTGAAGGGGCTAAAGGGGTTTAAAGTTTAAACTTTAAGGGGGGTGCCTTAGTGTGATTCCGTTATTTTCTTTTTTTATCTCCGATTCTGTGGGGAATTCTAATGTGACCCTCAGGCAAAAAACGTTTGTATTGCAATTCTACACAACATATTCTTTTTCCGGAATTTTTTGAAATTTTGACTTTTTTTTTTGGAGCTGCGGCTGCCGGCAACCCTGCCCAGGGTTCACATGCCCGGCCGGGCAGCCGGGGTGTACCTGGGCATAGGATGGGTGCCCAGGTGCCCGGAAAAACAGGCTAGCTTTTTGTGGAATTTTCAGTTCTAAGAATGAACTTCAACAACCGCACTTTCCCTGCCCACAAGCCTGCAGCAAATGCACATCATGGTCTAGGCAAAAAGATGCAACAGAGGAATGTTTCTTTTGGAAGATGAACGAGGTCCAGAAGTAGGCAGAGCTCAGCAACACTACCAAGAAAGCAAGTCTTGCGAGGAAAAATCTCAACCTCGGAAACATCAATCATGCGACTACGGTAGTTTGAGGGATGAAACATGGCATCTTGCTGTGGCACACTGAAATGCCCTCCAGAATCCTTCGTGGTAACTGCCTTTTCTGTGAGCATTCTTGAGGATGAAAGGCATAATGAGTACTGCGTAATCAGAAGTGCAGGTAAACAAGCATATTTGCTCTCCAATGTCTCCATATCATATTCTATTATTCATCCATTTTATTTTAGATTGTAGGCAACGAGTTTAGCACAACAGGCCACTACGAGGACAAAGCCTATGCAACTATAATTTGGTCGTTATCTGTAACATTACCATCTTATGCTGAAGCTTTTTCCCCAAATCCTTACCTGTAAGTTGTTTCTTCTACTCACTACCTATGCTAATGGCTGTGGTTAGTGACTTGCTTGCTACAGTCCTACTGTCGTCTTGCCAACCCTTGTCATGCTCTCCCCATAGTTTAAAAGCCAACGCGTGTCCTTCCGTCACCTAGGCTGAAATCCTCTTGAACTCAGCAGTTCTTTGAAATGCGAGTCCATTCAGCCCCCTTGATGAGGTGTTACATCGGGGCAACATGCACATGATTTGTTAGTTTTTTATTGTTGTATCCTCTGTTAAACTCTGTTGACTTGTGTATATTTGTGTCATTATTTATTAATGACGTAGTACAACTACCGAGGTCTGCCTTGAAGATTGTTATCCCGGAACAAAGGCAGTTTGTCGGCTGTCTGACTTTCACTCCTCCTCCTCCTCCTCCTCCTCCTCATCATCATCATCATCATCATCATTCTCCTTCTGCTCCTCCACTTCTCTCCTTCTCCTCCTCCTCCTCCTCCACTTCTGTCCTTCTCCTCTCCTCCTCTTCCACCTCTCTTCCTCTTCCACCTCTACCTCCTTCATTAGGATGGACAAAAATGGCACGAGGGGTTGGTTCAAGAATTGTGTGTAGGGTATCCGTGGTCATCAGCACCATTCATCATCACCATCATCGTCATCATTGCCTTGTCAAATGTGTAGACCATGTCTCCGCAAGAGGGACAAGGGAATAACTGACTGCAGCTGTAGAGTTCCAGAATTATGTACCTGGGCTGAGAGACGCCTCTTTTGTAGGCCCGCTGAGATTAGTGTTGAGAATCGCAGCACGTCTCCTATGAAGAACAGATGACTGGGTGTCATCGTAATATTTACACATTGACGTGATGAAACCAGCAACTGCTTGTTGCCACCTTGCCTCACGAGTTCCAGTTCAAATGGCCAATTCTCCACAGCTGTCTCCATTTCCTGCAGGACAAACGGTAGGGGAAGTGAACATGATAGAAGGGAAAGAAAAATCTTCAGTGTGGATCTGATCATCATAGCAGACGGGCAGAGACTCTCTTTTTGAAGAATTTCGCACCTGGTTGTTTCTGTTGAGGCAGTTCAACCTGAGTTCACACTGAAGCTCGCCAAGCATGATCACACTGCTAGGCTCATCCGTTGATACCTCTATCTTCCAGTAGCATAACAAGTTCTGAAGCTTCAACTCAGCTGTAGATAATGCCATTCCTGCCCTGCATGCTTGCGACATTTCACAGCATCACAAATGCGATAGGAGTAAGAACAAGCAGTACGCAAAGCCAAGCTCTCAATCTTCTTCAAGGGTTGTTGGGTTCATCATCTGTCCCTAATAACTTTGACTGACCATTGGTATTTTGGCTCCATAATTTATGCCGCAGTTTTGGAGCATTAACTTTTGGGACAAATGGACTGATAGTATGGCCCCTTTTAAGACAGCACAGAGATACAAACAGTCCTTTGTTCAGCATTGCACATAGACTCATAGAGTGAAAACACTCGTGACTTTCTCAGCCATACAAGGGTTCTTTGTTTTTTATTATTCTTCCTCAGGAAGGGCGGAAAGGTGAGAGTCTGGAACCTAACAACTCGACTTGTTTTTCAGGTCTTGTAGGCAGTAATTAGCGATGGGGTATGAGTAGAATTTGGATAGGTAGCTGAGTGGCTCGGTTAGAGAGAAACCGATATGTTCTGGTAGGCTGGGATTGGGAGATGAGTATGCCCCAGTCCCCGGACTTCCACGAAAAATCCTGAAATGAGCCTCAAAGCTCACCACATGATGGAGTGCTCAAGCCAACATGCACGTCTCACAGATTCACGGATTGCATTGTCACACACTTTGCACAAAGAGAAGATGAGTAGTAGCCCAGAAAAACGCAGCTCAATTATCACATCCAAATTATAGTGAGAGAATCATGAGTTCAACTGTCCAGCGCTCAACAGGTTACAAGTCTTCTTCAATCATCAAGAGTCTGAACATCGTGCTCATCAGCGCCCGTCATCCACGCCAAGTTCAGCACTCTTCAGGTAAGTAACCACCATGTCTCTTTCTCTCTCTCTCTTTTATCTATCTCTCACTTGAAGATTCTGGTCTTCTCTCTCTACACAGTCTTCTTCATCTCTCACAAGCGCACTCCCTACTACTAACACACACATGAGGATCAACTCTGAATACTACTACTAACTACTAACTATACTGCTTCCTAGTGCTGGCACAGCTATGGCTGCCTTCTTCCCTGCCAGCATCTACTTCCTCTCTCTCTCTTCTCACTCAGTGCTGCTCTCTGGCTTAGCGCAGCTCCCACACTAGCGCACAAGTGCACAAGCACTTCCACACTCTCGTGCGACTGAGCATCTGCCTAGGCTGGCCAGTCCTTTTGTAGTCTTGGAATACACTTCAACTCGTGCCAGCCTCTACCTCCTGGGGCCTGACTGGGTCCTGGTACCTCATTCCCACGGCCTGTCTGCTTCTGAATGGTAAGGCCTGGAACCTTCCCGAATTTCCTTTGGTCTGCTGCTGCTTGGGCCTTTGAGTCGTGACCTTTCACTTGTAGACATGACTTATGACTGTGGACTGACTTCTACCTCTGAATCACAACTTTTGTCTGTGGAACAGTCCTTTATTCGTGAAAGGTGACCTTTCAGCATGACTTTTCATTATGAAACGTGACTCCTGTTTTGAGACATGACTCTTGCTTGTGAATCTGCCTTTTTTTCTCGTGGAAAGTGACTGTTCGCTGGGTACCTGTTGGACTGGACTCCAAAGTGACTTATGTTAAAGTCTGGACGCGACCTCTGCCTCAGGAGACATGTCCTTTTCAAATGCTGATTCGTAACTTCAGGACCTGGCCGACTGGGCCCCGTTATATTGGGGTCGGAATTCGGGGTCTGAATTGTGAAGGCCCTTTCAATCCTCCCTTAGGAGGGAGATCCAGTGTGTTGGAATGCTCTTTGGAATCAATGTTAGGTTTTCAGTAACGGAGTGGCAGCATTTTAAATCATTTTGGAGCTCCTGTTGTGTAGACCATCATCCTCGATCTTCTGCCCGTGTGTGTTTCACTTGCCACACCCCTTTTTCCACCCAGGACAACCATCTCCAGTCCTTTGTGCGTAGTGTCCACGGCACCCTGCTAGGGTCTATGATCCAGGGGTTGCAGAAGAGAGGTTGTCTCAGGACCTCTTCTCTGTTTCCTGGTGTACCGTGTTTGCTTGGCATCATTCTGCACCAGGCTTTGATGGTAGGGATCCAATAAGAGATAACTGTATGGGTGGGGGTTGTGATAGGTTCTGCTGTGTTTCTTCTGCGAGGTCTGCCTTATTTGATTGTCCAGTCCTTCGCCATTAACCAGAAGAGGCGTCTCATATTTGGGGGGAGTAGATAGGTGCCAGGTTTCTGATGCTGTCTAGAGCCATCTGGGTCTATGGAATGAATGGTATAATCAGGATCTTGATAATCCATTTCATCTGCAGTGCTATGGACTCCTGTTTGGGTTCAAGTAGCCCAAGGCCCCCCTCCTGTGGTTTCCTAATAATGTGGTTCCAGGCTACCGTTCTTGTGGTTTCCTAATAATGCGGTTTTAGGCTACCCTGTTGATACATGTGGTCCTATTGGGGTCTCCTGTCCATATATAAAATCTCACCCTGTTCTTTAACGTCTCGAGGTCGTCGTGAGGGGGAGATCAGATGGATGCCATGTACCACAATGTGGAGAAGATTGCAGGATTAAGTAGTAGAGCTTCTCCGATTAGTGAAGCCTGAGCGTTTTTGCATGGGGCCAACCGGGTGATTGCTCTGGCAACCAGGTTCTGACCTATACCAGGCCATACCCCGTCCCTGTAAACCATGATAACAAGGAAACGTAGTGCTTGCTCTCCCGTTGTCCATGACATGGGTGTGGCTCTGTCGGTTGGTTGGGGAGGGGTACCGTCTGCTAACCATCAACCTTCACTTTTGCCCCAATTGACCTTCATTTCTAATGCCAATCTGAAGGCTTCCATTGCTCTTATGAGGATTTGGAAAGAACAATTATTGGCGCAATAGTAACGTCATCAGCGAACATTAGTGCTGAGGGTGGAGCGAAGTCGTATAATGGATTGAAGTTGCGTTCAGTAAGGCGGTCGATAGACGGGTCTTTCCAAAGGAAGGAAGCTATGGCTTCCATAATGAAGAGCAATATGGGCGGAGCCAATGGGTTGCCTTGTCTGACCAATCTTGATATCAGGTAGGTCTCCAATATGATCCTATTGACCTGGACTGCTTGTTGCATCTAAATAAGGACTTTCACCCAATCTCTGAATTTTGGGCCTCCTACAATTTTCTCCATGCAGGCATGGAGAAAATCCCAATTGACTTGATCGTAGGCCTTTTTGAAGTAAAAAATCAGGATTGCAGCCTTCATTCGTTTTTCTGCGATCTTCTTTGTTGCCTCATTCAGCGACATCACGTTGTCTAGTACGCATTGGCCCGGGATAAAGCCTGCTTGGTCGATGTGAAAGCATTTGTTCGTTACTTTTGCGATTCTATTCGCAAGAGCCTTAGCGAGGATTTTGTAAGGGGTGGTGAGTAGTGATATGGGTCTGTAGTTTTTTAGGTCTTCCTTGTCTCCTTTCTTATGAGGCAATGATACCACACTGGTGCTTAGTTCATTGCCTAGGCCTCCTTTTTGCCTGTGTCATTGAAAAAATCGAGCACGTCCTCTCCTAGGGTTGGCCAGGAGAAGCTCCAAAATTCTTTTGAGAGGCCGTCAATACCCGAACCTTTGTCATTTTCCATCTGGGTCAGGGCTACGTGTAGCTCAGCTAGGGTTAGGGGCTTGTCCAGGCCTTCCGCTTGGATTGTTGAGATCATCTTGTCAAGGTATGACAACATGAGTTGCCGGGCTGCTAAGTTCGCTGTGGTGGTGGGTGTGAGAATTTGTTTTCTATTTTGAATCTCCTTTTTTTTTTCCTTTTTGTTCTGCTCTCTTTTTTCCCCCCTTTTTTTAAGTTTTTTTCACTTTTTTGTTCTGCTCTCTTTTTTTTTTTTTTTTTTTTTTTTTCCACAAACACTGCAATGTTGCCTTTTCTTCTTTA